TACATACATACATACATGCATACATACATACATACCAACATACATACATACACACATACACACGCATACATGCATGCATACACGCATGCATACATACATACATACATACATACATACATACATACACACATGATATATACACAGATGCATACACATATGCACGCATACATGCATGTACATGCATACTTGCATATGCATGTATACACGCATACACGGATACATGCATATTGCATACATGCATGCATGCATGCATACACAAATGTGTGCACACATGCCTACACAGACACACACACATACATACATACATACATACATACATACATACATACATACATACATACATACATACGTGCATGTATGCAGGGGTACTTGCATATGGCATGCATGCATGCATGCTTTCATACATACGTACATTCGTACAACATACATACATACATACATACATACATACATACATAGATACATTAATTACATACATACATACATACATACATACATACATACATTAATCACATACATACATACATACATACATACAGACATACAGACATACAGACATACATACATATGAAATACCTACATGCAGGCTTATTGCCTAAATACCTACCTACCCGCCAGCCTGCTTGCTACCTACATACATACATACATACGACAGACAGACGGACAGACAGACGGACGGACATGCAGACAAACATGTAAGTGTGTATATGCAAGTACATGCATGTATAGTTGTGCATACTACGCATGGATGCATGAAGGCATGCGTGCATGTATGATCACTGGAAACTCTTCAGACGAGAGGCATGTTCGAGATACAAATGCTAGTTGAGAGCTTCGGGTCTCCCTTGTCTTGCCCTTTTTTGCACCCTCCACAACACCCTTCTGAAACCCCATCAGACCTCCTCTCGTCATTCAAGGTTGTACGAAGTGCGACCTTAGAGTCCCTTGTGGATGCCCTTTTCGACGTACACTCTTTGAGAATGGCGCGCCTTCAATCGAACAGTTCGGTTTGGGGTTCAGGGCGTTTGGAATGCACCTGTCGCAATTCCACCTTAAATCCCATCTGGAAGTTTCCGAAAATAGGGGACCCTAATATAGTACCCCAAATAGTAGGATCCTTATTATAAGGACCCCAAAATATGGTACCCCAATTTTCGGAAATTCCCAAGTCCCATCTGTGTAACACCCCAGAGAACCCAATACACCTTAATTAAGGACTATACCTTAAATTATAGGGGTCTTAATATTATGATTTAAGGTACATTCCTTAATTTCGGGGTATTGGGTTCTCTGGGACCAGCTCTCGGGACCTGCATCTGATCCAGAAGAGTGATGATGTTTTCCTCGGCGTTTACGGCTGCATCGCTTCGGATTTTAAAGTAGAAAGGTTAATATAGGGGAGTTAATAACTAGAACAGGGTTTTGGGCTCCTTTATACTTTCACTATAACAAGGAATCTGCAAAATCGTATAGGTGATTAGTTAGGCCCCTACAGTACATAGCATCCTGTCAGCGGAAGAGGCCTTGTGAGTGTCGGGCTCGGGTGTCCTGGCTGGTATCACCTGGCCTTTTCTTGGAATGGTTTTGGAGTAGCCTGTTTTGCTTTTAAGCTTAGAGTCTGAAGATGAAGCTTTGGTGTTCGGGGGTTTAGGGTCTGAGCTTCTCAAAGCAGTGAAGTGGAGCCCAAGCCCAAGCACTCTTTGCGTTCGAGCCTCGGGAAGTTCCAAAAAAAAGGTGCGCCCCTTCAAGCCCGCCCTCCCAATCGAAAAGGATCCATATCTGCAGTTCCTTTTCGCCTGAGGCCCCTGCCCACTTTTTCCGGGAGTTGCAAGAGGCCAATGCAAAGTCGTAGCTGTGCCTTGGTGCCATATCTTTGCTCCAGGCAGCCTTGAGAGGGGTTCCATGTTGCTTTGCGGGGTATATGGCCAACGTCGTGAGGATTTGTGGCTCTTGTACAGCATCCTTTCTCCAGCTGGAATGGAAGCACTGTACGCCGGCTACAATGTCGCCATGACTTTTGAAGAGGACAAGATCGGTAAGCTTTCGTTGCGACTGTGGTGACCGGTAGCATGTATTTTTCCAACCGGCAAGCAGACTGCTTACAGGATGCTCTCAAGGCAGACAGCATGCCTACCATGCTGAATCCGTTACCTAGGATTAGAGATACCCTGCTGCTACTACTACTACTACTACTACCACCACTACCGCCACTACCACCACTACCACTACCACTACCACTACCACTACGACTACGACTGCTACTACTACTACTACTACTACTACTACTTCTACAACAACAACTACTACTACTACTACTACTACTGCTACTACTACTACTACTACTACTACTACTATTACTACTACAACTACTACAACTACAAAACCTACTACTGCTGCTGCTGCTGCTGCTACTGCTACTGCTACTGCTACTGCTACTGCTACTGCTACTGCTACTGCTACTGCTACTGCTACTGCCACTACTAGTACTAGTACCACTACTACTACTACTACTACTACTACTACTACTACTACTGCTACTACTACTACTACTGCTACTACTACTAGTGTGTGCCCGGAATTTAGAACAATCATTTGAGCAAGTTTGAAACACAAT